GAGTCGGTCCGTTCGGATATGTCGGGCCCCGTCCCTCGCCACCCAGCAGCCCCATTGTGGGCCCGGCCGAACCCATAATGGGCTTGCAAAAAGACGCCCTCTTAATGCTCACAGGGCGGAAAGAGTTATAAAAAGAAAAGGAGCTGGCCAAAACGTTCTTAGGTATAACTACAGTAGACAGAGACATAGGGTTTTGGCTCACCAGAAGGCTAAATGGTCTCAAAAATAATAAAACTAAAACGAAATTCTTGGAGCCATTCCAGAAGAACCAAAATTCAACCGCCTCTTAGTTGCACAATGTAGTAAGCAACTGAATTCTTATTTTCATGTTTGTATCTTCTTGTTTTGCAAACACTAAGACTGCGTTTAAGAATACTCCAGATATGCAAGATAGAGAAAATCGCAGGAGGAGAGGGAAAATCAAGCAAACTAAGGTCATGTGCTTACAGGTATACTCTCCTTGCTTTCCCTGTACTTATGTTCATGCAAAAGCTGGAAGGAAAAGTCCGATGAATTTTACAACGAAATAAAGTTAAAGAAACTTAAACGAAACTACTCTAGTAACACTTCCTTCCTTTAATTATAGGCTCCCAGTGTGTTTTGCTGCTTCTCGGGCCATTTTCTTTATCTCCGACAGAATGCTGGCAGGCTTCATTGCCATTTGATTGTCATTGTTCCAAATATCTAAAGTTTAATAAATTTATTCAAAAATTTTGTAAAGTTTAATGAAGATAACAATAAATGAAAAACTACATTACTCTTTATCAATTTATGTATAAGTTTAAGTAAGATTTGACATTTTATAATCCAAGTTTAAGTCTAGCTATAATACTATTGGCCCCTTGCAACATTCAAATAAAACATGGCGCATGTTCTAAAAATTGCTAATTAAGCAACTATACTCGGTAATAAATCATAATTATCTAGTTTAATCTGTTTTACTTTTATTTTTTACATTATTATTGCTTGTATTGGTGTGTCTGTATTTAGCATAATAAGGTATAGAAGCCTTATAATGCTAAATTGATATTACAAAATTTGTTAGGCCTATATCTAATTTATTTCCTTGTTGTGATAAGCGAAGAAAGAGAGATGGATAAACACAGTCTTACTAAACTTAGGGATGCAGATTAACATGGTATTTCATTGCTTACGTAAAACATAATGAAAATTATGCTTACTTTCTGTAAATTGTAATTAAATGCGTACTTATATTTAAAAATAATTTTATTACATTTCACTTATTTAAATGATAAATAATGTTTCCTATTTATCCTTGTAATTATCATTATTTTCTCGGCTGTTTATATATAACATGGGGAAAGTGTAACGGACCAAGGACTGTATACTACAAGGATAGCCAGATCCCTATTCTACAATGTTAGCCAGGAATGGCAAGTTAGTGACGTCAGCACNAATTATGCTTACTTTCTGTAAATTGTAATTAAATGCGTACTTATATTTAAAAATAATTTTATTACATTTCAATTATTTAAATGATAAATAACGTTTCCTATTTATCCTTGTAATTATCGTTATTTTCTCGGCTTTTATATATAACCAGGGTTGTGGAGTCGCGTAAAAATCTACCGACTCTGACTCCGACTTTTCCTTACCATCCGACTCCTACTCCGACTCCGACCAGGGGCGGACTTGTTACCGAAAGAGACCCGGAAATTCTGATGTCATCATGTGACCTCAGAATAAAAGATTCAATAAATAGAGTTCTAATAAAGAAAGAGCGTAGAAGCTTTTTATTCCAAAGCTAAAAGACTTCTCTAAGTAATATATAAATATGTATTCGATAATTTTTACTTTTCCGGCTGTTATACATAACAGGAGAAAGTGTAGAGGGAAAGTGTAGCGCTCGGTCAAAAAATGACCCTCCCAAATTTTTACATTTTTGGACTCGGAACACCTTGAAATTTCGAGATATGCAAAAGATTCGAGGTTTTTTCTATGTTGAATGTTAGACTGTGTGTGGGCGGCATGATTTTGTTCACTCCGTTTGAAGCCTAATAATTTCTGTGGTCAGAGTGGTCAGAATCGGAGTCAGATGAGGACACAGGAGTTAGTTATTAAGCGTCAAAGTGGTTGAACTAAATCATGTCCATATATACATTCTAACGTCTTAGGCGAGAACATCTTAACGGGTTTTACTGTACTATTATAAAATGGCAAAAAAACTTACTTTGAGGGTAGAGAGGAGTTTCATTTTATTTTTTTAAATTTTGAACGCTAATAACGAGTAAAATATTCATTAAGAGATATGACACATAACCACTTTTATGTCTTTACCCTGTCGACCTATAATTAAGAACCAAAATTTAATAGTATTAATGTCCTTTTATACGCAAGCTACGGTGCCACATTTCGTTCCTTAAACTTTACCCATTCTGAGATATTGTTTAATATCTCAAAACAGAAAATAAAGAAATTAAACAAATTAGACGCCAACACACGCGCGCACGAATTTTTTCCTTTCTATTGACTTCTTTTTGAGGGGTTCGGGAGGTCTCCAAACGTGTAGATTTGCAAAAAAAAAAACTTGGAGGGTCAAATTTGACACGATTCTAACACTTTTCCGTTTTATATACATAACAAGTTGGTAAGTAAAAAAAAGTCGGAGTCGGCGGATTTTTTGACGACTCCGACTCCACAGCCTTGTATATAACACAGGGAAAGAATATGGCGGTTGGTCAAAAAATGACTCCACCCAGATTTTTATATTTTTGTACTCAGAGGACCTATAACGTTGAGAAATGCAAAAAATTCGGTGGTTTTTCCGTATGTATGGCACTGATGTTAGTGTGTATGTGGAAAGCAAAATTTTCTTCACCCTATTTTAAAGCTTAATAACTCCTGTGCTTTTTGTCGAAAATTTCTGAAATTTTTCAGGGACGATTGTGTTTTAGAGGGGTTGATGCTATTAAATTTTGGTGGTTAAAGATCGAGAGGGTAAGGAGATAAAGGGAATCATGTGATGATTTATTCGTTATTAACATTTACAATTTTTTTATAAAACCCATCCGTACTCTTAAAATTAAGCTTTTTGTTATTTTATAATGGTTAAAAATATAAAAAGATTTTTAAAAAATATAATTGCGCAAACAAATGTTGCCAGGAAATATAAGCTATTCTTTGCTAGATATTTTATTATTATTATTATTCTATTTTAAAAATATTATATATACTATGTGACAAATGTGAAAATAAAACAAAAATATTTTGTAAGTAAATAGTTTTTATTTTCTTAAATCAATTTTGATGACTGCAATGTATTTTACATTTTAATTCCGAAATAATTTACAAAAGAGAAGAAATAACTTTAAAAATCGACAGTTGAGAAGTTCGAACTTAAGTTTAATTCTTCGATTTTGATAATGATCATAAAGAAATTTTAATTTAAACTTACAAAGTATTACACTTAATCATCATTTGATTATTATTATATTTTTAATACATCCAGATTAAAACTGAGTTATTATCGATTATATAACTTATATTACGTTTCAATTATTTAAGATTTTACGCATACCCCTAATTGATTATGTTAAATATAGATTTTACTTTTTATTTTATAATACGATTTCTGATTATTATTTTATTTTCTTAGAAAACGGTGACAGCTTTCTGTGAACATATTTATTATCGGAAGTGTTTGATGATCGTTGCTTTTTTTCTCATTTTTAGTGCTCATTGCTCTTACTGTCCACAAGGCAACCTGTGGATACTAAGGTTTTGTCCATACCTTTTTTTTTCCGTCGTCGATTCGGCCAGGCCAATAATAATGGAGGCAGACGAGTAGTAAGGGACAGGTATATGGGGAACATATCGCCCACGAAAAATTTCTATATAGTTGCTCCACTGGTTTCGATCCCGAGTCCCCTAGACCTAGAGTGCCTTAACCTCCTCCACATTTACTGTATCGACTATCCGAATACAAAAATTTCGGATAGTCGATACAGTAAATGTAATGATAACGAGAAACTTTGATCCTTATTTGATAGTTTCTAAGACAATCTTAATCATACGAATAATTTTCTATAATTCATTTGTGGTTAAAGGGTAAGAAATTATCTTAGACCTATCAAAATAATCAAATTTTCTTGGCAACTAACGAAACTCATTCAGCAAATAATAGACTACAGAACTGCACCTTAAGTTGCTGAGAAAAAATTTATTTAAACGTAACTAACGTTTTCTACCTATTCGATAGGTATTCGATAGGCCATTCTCCTTATATACTCTATTTTTAGAACACCGTTATTTTTTCGCAATTAACCTGAGGATGGCCTATCGAATAGGTCAAAAACGTCAGTTACGTTTAAATAAATTTTCTCTCAGCAACAGGTGCATTTCTGTAGAAATTTTCTAGTTTTTAATACAAATAAATATTTATTTATTTTATTAATTAATATTTATATTTAACTGAAATTTAAATCTAGTTACAAAAATATCACTACATTCGAGCATTGAAGTTCTTGAAATTAACATTATAAGTATAATATAATAAAAAATTTTTGGTTTAAAAATACTTTAGGAATATTTAAAAATTATTATATGCAATTTTGAGAGTGCTTTTGTTATTTACTTTTTATAAAAAAATAAATAATAATAAAGTATATTATTCTTTTTGATTATACGTAGATTTACTATAGGTCTAAATGCTAACAATAATCAATAAAAATTAATTACTGTACGGGATTATTCAAATTAATAAAACATTCTGATTAATAGAGTTTAATGTAAAAGAAAACAAATATATATTTTTTAAAAATAATATTCCATATTTTCTACATAGCATTTATTTATGATAATATCTGTAGTACAATACAAATTTTACAAATTAGGCATAATTTAAGAATTAATTTGCTATTTCTTTTTATTTTAGACTGAAATATTTAACTCCATAAAGAACAAAACCGATTCGAATGAAGCAGAGTTTGGATTAACAAGTGTACTCTACATTTTGTTTAATACTTTTGTCAACAGATGGTGCTATAGGTCTTAATGAAAGAAATATGCTATTGCATAACTTCCTGAAAGGCTAATTTGAGAGCTTCAGTAAACTTACTTTCAAAATGTAATCTACGATTAGCTTTGTGCACTAATTTTCTAATTTAATTAATGAAACTAAAAATCTTCTGTAAGAACGTTTTTAATTAAAATATCCAATAAAATTGTTTAAATAAAGTCGATATATCAGACAAATTATGAAAACTGTATTCTGGAATAATCAACGATGAGGTACTAAAGGAGGTTAAAGTAAGTAGCTCTATTAAATTAGCATTAATTTTATAATATTTTAAAACTAACCATTTTAAATATTTATTTAACAATTAATAATATCCAATCCAGTACATTACTAATATTAAAAATATGTAATCGAAATGGGAAGATTTAAACACATTTAGATAACTAATGTTATAAAAAGTTTTCAATGGACATTCATTTTCACACATAAGATCTTAACAATGTTTTAACTAATTTTTTTGGGGGTCGCAGATATTCTTTATTCCTACTTAGAGACGGGTGATCAATTTTCTTTCATTTATGTTATATCTTACTTGTCATTATAGGAACTATGCAATAGTTAAGTAAAAAATGTATTTTCTATTACAACGATACATTTTAAAATGTTATATAAAAAGAGTTAAGCATGACAACATAATAATATAAGTTGTAATGCCCTACGTAATTCTTCTATTCATTAAGTTTTAATTAGTTAAACTTAAAAAACAGATAAAATTTGTAGAAAGAAATAAAAAGTATCAGGAATGGGAGAACAATACATTTATATTAAATGTATATATTGTCTCCCCATTCATGTCTTCCCTACTCTAATCATTTCACTTATCTGAAATAAAATCAGCTGTTACAGATTGTAGAAAATTTTGTAAAAATTGTTTTTTAATAAGTGTTATTCCAATAATTATCTTTTTATAATTTTAAATTACTATAAAAATTTAATTAAAACAAGAGTAATATAATATTAAATATAGATGTAAATTAAATATCCTCACTCTTTTTAATAACTATATAATAATAATTTAAAGCAATCGTATAGTCCGATTAATATAAATTGTTTAATTTATCTCTGGTTTTTAACCAATAGTTTAATTCAATTACAAAGTGAGGTTGAAAGATAATTTTAAGTCAATTTTATCTAAGTATTGCATCATACCATCGAGTACATGTGATTAGTCTGTCGTCTCATAAAACGAAAGTATTTAACCGCGATGTAACATCATGTAAATGAATAAACTAAACACGTGAATATAACAACCATTAAGAGGTAAGTTTATGTACATAATTTTATTAAATTAATGCTAAATATTATGCATTTTTAACGAAATAAGTTCACATAAAATCAGTTCTTAGATCAGTGTTTAGGAAACTTTTAACCACGTGGTAAAAATTTTAAACTGACGAGAAATTAAATTATAAGATGAATTTTTACGGATTAAAAATAAAATTTCTATATTTCATAGGAATATTTTATATAAATGCATATTTAAAATAATATACAGTATTTTATATATTCTAGTTATATTCTACACATACATTTATAGCTGCTTTTATCAACATATAAAATTGTTGAATATTATCAATTGACTGATATCTGAACAATTTGAAAGCATAAAATGAATATTTTTATTTTTTCCAGTTTAAAGTTGATTATTTTTATCGAATCCAAGTGAATAATATAATTTGCGAATTTTACTTCATTATTATTTCCAGATTCATTACGGTAGATACTGGTTATATTTATATTTACAGAATTTTTAAAGTTAAATATAGTTAAATGAGAGTTAAATCAAGAGAATTACATTTAACTTATTTTGTTAGTTTGAATAATTTATTTATCAACTTATTTTATGATAATATATAATTTTTATATATAATAAAAATATCATGAAATAAACTAATAATAATACATATCATTACCTTTTTTAACATATACACTTTTTAAAAATTCATAATACCAATATCTGTAAAATTATTGATATAATCATCAGTCAAACAGTCAAAACATCAAAATTTATTAAATTAATGTCAATGTTATTAAATTAGATACATAAAAACATTTTAAAAAGTTTTAATGTTTTTATGTATTTAAATGTACTGTACTGTACATGGTAATTTTATTTAGACCTATATATAATACATAAATAACTAGCAGATGAGCCTCACTTATAATCGTATAACGACTTTTATCATTCCTCCCTTTAAAGTCGTAAAACTGAAAGGTTAAGGTCTTTATTAAATTTCTGTAATTTTACAAATAACTGTATATTGTTATGAAATTATAATACTGTATATGAATTATAAAAAAAATATTTATAATAATTTAGATAAATTGTCTTATTTATGTTTAAACGTCGTTATTTCAAAATGAAATATTTTTAATAGAAAAAAGAAAAATGAGCGGAGATTTATACGAACAGATTTCCACTCCTACAGAAGAGAGTGAGGTACATAAATTAAAACCATTTATTTTGAATATTTATTTTTTATATTGAAAGTAATAATTAATAAGAAAATTTATATATTTTTTTTATTTTTACATACTGGTAATATAATTGACATATAGACAAAATAATTTATCTATATGACAAATTATATAGACAAATTATTTTGAAAAATACGATAAAATATTTCAAATATATTTCTAAAATGTTATAGTTTATTTTTGACCATATAATTTTTAAATTTTTCTTGTTAATTATTTTTTTATTAGAATATATTCTGCAAGGAATCTTAATTGCTTAACTTTCATGTTATAAAATTATGTTACATGAAAATCTCTATTGATAAGTTCTTTTGTATAATATTTTTTCTTCATGTTACCAAGAAACTCGAAACGCTTGTAAAATTTTGCGTTGTCACTTTTGTTGCATTCATTGCAGGCCTTATTCTAAGGCAGGGGTGGCGAACCTATGGCACGCGTGCCCAAAGTGGCACGTAAGGAGAATCATCTGGCACGTAATGTATCATACGATTTCTGTCTTTTTCAATCATCTTTTCGGTTTATCACCTGATCATCCTTTTTTCAATCAGCTTTTTTACATTTATTCTAATTAAAGCGTATTCGTTTAATTTCTTTAAATATCGTTATTCGAAGTCTGAAACTTTGGCACGCATAAACATCTTTAAAGATAAGTATGCTTACAATATGCCACGTGAACACAAAAAGGTTCGCCATTCCTGTTCTAAGGCATTTTTACCTAATGCACAAATATTTGTTTTGTTTTGGCCAAGCCGAAAAATACTTTGTGTTAATAAACTATTTTAAAAGACATTAATGAAAAAGAAGGAAAATAACAGAAATTTTACTATTTATATAATTATTTATTAATTTCAATCACTGTTTAATCTTAATCGTTAGACAAGCGTCTGTCTGCCCTTCCTTAATCTCGAAAACGGAATTAGATAAATGAAGGTCTAGACCAGATATGGAAAGTTTAGGGACAGGAGGCCCCGATTAACTATATACGATTCAAACCGGAAGGCACGTTATTTCAATTCAAAATTTTTCCTCTGAAAAGAATTAGATTGGTGACCGGCACGATTCTATTGTAACAGGAAAAGTATGGTGTTCAGAGACATAACACTACTAATTTGAGATGGAAAGCATATACAGGGTGTCCATAAAGTCCGTGTGCAATTTTAAAAATTTATAACTTTATTAGTATTTGTGATAGAGAAATTATGTAGAATGTATTGGAAATAAGAACATCTATGTTTTTTTTATTGTTTTATTGTATTTTATTAAATTTCCACATGTCCACCATTATTAGTAATACAAAGGATAATACGATTTTATAGTTCTCCAAGAACATTTGCTAATTGATTTAGAGTAATGCCTGATATCACATTAATTGTTTTAGCTTTTAAGTCTTCTAACGACCGAGGTTTGGTTGCATACAACACGGTTGTCACATGGCCCCATAAAAATCTAATGGTGTCAAGTCAGGCGAACGTGGGGGCCAAGAAATTGGTTCATCTCTTCCAATCCTAATTTTATCTAAAACTAGATACATTACGCTTTCTAACAATTTTCACATATTTTCTCTATTTTAAATTAAATACATTAAAAATATGTTTAAAAATTGATGTCCGGCATTGTAAAGATGTCACAATAAATACTCATTGTAAATTATATTGATAATTTAAATGATGATATTTTACGCTTTCTAACAATTTTCACATATTTTCTCTATTTTAAATTAAATACATTAAAAATATGTTTAAAAATTGCAGTCCGGCATTGTAAAGATGTCACAATAAATACTCATTGTAAATTATATTGATAATTTAAATGATGATATTGATGCATAAAAAATATTAATTGTAGTCTATACATTCATTATAAATAATAAATCCTACAAACATTTCTTCCATACTTTTTTTTCGTGGACTGAATAAAATATATAGTAAAACCTGTATAAACTAGAATCTCACGGTACCGAATATTTTTCCAGTTTCGTAGATTTCCGTTTTGAAAAGGTTCCTTTTTAGCATAGAAAATCGCACCGTTACGAGGAATTTTTTTTCGTTTAGGCAGGTCCGTTTTGGATAGGTTTTACAGTACACCATGGAACTTAGATAAATATTTTAAATTTAAATTAACCAGAAGGAAAAAATACTTGTACAATTCAGAATCGAACAAATTAATTACTGTACAATTATGGGTTTCTCACTGCACAATTCAAAATTCTCCATTACACTTCTTGTGTCCAGTTGCATATGCGTTGGACACAAAATGTGTAATGAATATGCACAAATTCATTGTATGAATACTTTTAAACGTAGCATCAAACAAAAGTTTCTTGATATCAAATCGTTCGTTTTTTTCTTAATAGTCTATATTTACACGTTCGAAAGAATAACTTACTCAGGGTCTTTATTCGTATTGCAAGTGAAATTTCTCTTAATACATCAGGCAGAATTAAAAGATTGTAGTACTGTAATAATAATTACAGGTATCCCTCTCTTAACGCAAGATTTGATTAATGCGCGAAATTAATTGCGGCAATCCCATTATACACGCGGCAGAAGTGTTAATTAACGCGGCTTAACAGCCGTCTTTACTAAACGTAGATATTTTTTCGGCAAATAAGGTATTGGTTAATTTCCTATTTTCATGCCAAAGGTGATTTCTGCTATAGATATGTAGTTTATTTACGATAGTTGTAAAATTTGACACATTACTGCTAATGTGAAATGGTGTTGTTTGTTTAGAATCTTATTTTAAAACTTCACATTTTGTTTGCGAAAAGTAAAATCCAAATGTCTGCAGATAAAATGCATATTAGTCATATTGTATACTTTTTAAGTTTCGTAAAGGATATAACGCTACACAAACAGTAAAAACAATACTAGTACTGTGTATTGCGAAGATGTTCCTAAACGTCGGACATGTCAGATGAACTCGTGAATTTCCAACAAATCTTAGTATATTACCCACATAATGATTGTTTCGTATGTATTAGATGAAAAAAATAACTGGATCGAGTATAATTTTGGCTGACAAACGTAGATAGCTCTAAGGTTTTATTTTATTTTTAAATTAATTACTCATTTTTATCATAAAATACTTTTTTTATGGATGACAAAATTAAAATTAAAATATTTGTTATTATCGAAAATTTGTTTCAGCGGCTGGTGATTATTTGGTCAAGTTCCGAGGTACAATACAATACCACTGTATTTGATTAACACGATTTTCATATGCGCGGTAGCATCGAGGAATCAATTGCGTTAAATTAGTCTAAGGGTATCTGTATTATCACTATTGCGATTTTCTAGGTTTATTTAGCAAACCTTATGTAATGAAATCACATTCCTTTGACGTAACAATAATCAGGACAGTGGTTCATGGTAGATTTATTAATTATCAAAGCACATGCTATTGGTACAAGAAAAATGAATCCTCTTACGAGATAGAGGAACAACGGCTCGATACAGGTACACTATATCATCTTTCAATTTTTCTTATGTAAGAGCTGTAAATTTCTGACCTATAGAGCTTCCTTTTTTATTTTAACTCTTGACAAATGTTTCATCATCTGAAGCTTAAAACGAAGGAGGAAACTGGATTACTTTAAAGAGGGCAGCTGAACGATTCTATGTTTATCGAGTTAAGTAAAAGACCAATTTTTTCCAGATGGCCAGCCTTCTGGGCCCAATGACGAGATTATGAACTTTTGTCGCACTCTTAGATAAGGAATGGAAATTTGTTATATCCGGATTGCTGCTCAACAATATAGATAAAACTCTAAAATGATGCTTGATCTTGAATAGAAGTACTTCGAATTTTTCATAAAAATTTTATAGCGCATTTAATAAGTTTAAACAAGAAACTGATTAAAAAACTCCACCATACCTTTAAAATGCAGTCTATTTTGCACCCTTATCTAACGTTTTCCGTGAATCAAACAACATAACATCGGCGTGGAAAGAGGCGACATTAAAATTATAATAATGAGCATGCAAAATTGAGAAGATTATAGAACGTGCATTCTGGAATTTCCGTTTTCAAATTTGAAATCTGATAGTTCGATCCTGAAGAAGGTCTGTGAATCTGACCGAAAACGTTAGATAAGGGTGCAAAATAGACTGCATTTTAAAGTTATGATGGAGTTTTTTAAATAGTAATGCAGTTAGAGATATAAAGAAACTGATTGTTTTCATTTTGAGAACAGAATAATTACTTAAAAATTCCCTACAGAGGGGGTGCAGTCACGTAATATAACGTCATCGCTCCGCCCACCAAAACAATCGTCCGCCATATTGGTTGCTGATTTGACGTTACCTTGCTCGTTCGCTTATTATGTCAACGTGGAAGAAGGGCATCTTACCTGGCTATGCAGCCGATTTAAAATATAATGATTTGATAGAATATAAAGAAAAAAATTTCTTTTACTGAATGGGATCCATACAAAATGAAACCAACGGATTTTTCATCTAACGATTTAACCACGTGGCCACTATAGAACATGGAGACATAGTAAATTATTTAGTTTTAACAACTAACGCTGTCACACTAGATCAGATGAAGGCATACAAATCACTCGATGCCCATAATTATTTGACAAGCGGATTTATTCATCGAGAAATTTTATCAAGATCCGTCCGTAATGATTTAATTGTGCTTGTAGGAAAGGTAAGTATCTTCATTTCAGGCTTTCCATTTCTCATAACATAAACTGCGTTATATAAAGATGAATTTAATTTTATATTTAGTCACATTTTAAGTTGATTAAGTTGTATTTATAATTACCATCAAATTTTTTTCTTTTGTCCCCATGGTTTTGTGTTGTGCAAGTCTAACAACCTATTATTAAGATTAAATTAATTAGCCTAATAAATCCTCCTATTTATTATTGCCATATTTATCATATCAGGGACTGACTGGACCAAAATAGACTAAAGTTTTACAAAAAAAATAGCCTTTAATTAACCACAATCAAATTTTTAGTAGAAGGCATTTCAAGCATCTCATCAGCATATTTCAGGCACAAAGTCCCCACATCAGCCTAATACATCCATACAGAGATGCTTGGAATGCATTCTACTAAAAATTTGATTGTGGTTAATTAAAGGCTATTTTTTTTCTTTTTTTTTGTAAAAGTTTAGTCTATTTTGCTCCAGTCAGTCCCTGATATGATAAATGTGGCTATAATAAATTGGAGGGTTTATTAGGCTAATTAGTCTTAATTTATGTTGTAGGCTAGAAGTGTGATTTAATAACCTGTTATTGTTTAAATATATTATTAGAAGTAAATAGCACAGTTTCTTACATTGTTTTTGTACACAGGTTAATCACTCACAAAATCTACGGCAGCCAGCTTTAGTAGCCAGCTTTAGTAGTGTGGGTTTTAGCTAAGAAAAATGAAGAGGTGATAACTGGGCATTGCAATTGCATAGCTGGACAATCTTCCTCCTGCTCTCGTGTTGGTGCTATTCTTTTTGCCATTGCAGAAGGAATTAAAATAAGGAGCTCCCAGACATGTACTGACCGACCAAATAATTGGATTGTGCCACATGTGGTTGTGGTTACAAACCACTACGAAAAATAAACTTTACGCCAGCTGCAACTGCAAGCAAACGGCAATGCCTTAAAGAAAAAATATACAAAAACCTTATTTGTCAAGTGATAAAACTTGGAATACTTGTATAAACAAACCTAGTAAAAGAGAATTTGAACAGTTTTTGAAAAAAAATTCTGTTCATAATCCAACTGCTGCAATTTTGTCAGTGATGCCAGGTTACTCTAATTCTTTTACAAACCATGCCTATTCATCTTTCCATAAGAACCCATTTACATCTCCATTTGATGCCAAAAAAGCTGCCTTACCCTGGGATCAGCTGTTAAATCACTCAGAACAGTATTTGAAACTTTGCATCTGACAAATGAAGAAATTGATTTTATTAAAGAAAACACACTAGCACAGAGTAGAAGCAAGCTGTGGTTTGTGCATAGATCAGGTAGAATAACTGCTTCTGTTATGAAAAGTGTGTGTAGAGCAGATATGGAGACTCCGCCAGTTTTCACTGTATTTTACCAGAGCTAATTGTAAAAAAATTTTCTTCCCAGCCAGCTCTACTCACACGAAAAGATTCAGAAAATGTATAAATTTTATAGAATAAAATACTTTACTGTACAGCAAATTGTTTAGTTTGATGTAAAACTAACTTTTAAGCAAAAAAATGAAAACTCAGAAAGTATTACAGTATTGAATAAATATTGTAATTCATTTGACTAATAATCAAAATTTATTTATTTATTTTACATATTATTAGAACTTCAGTCGACAAAAGATTTTCACCCCCGAATAACAAATTATTTTATAACAAATTAAAATTATATTAATCAAATGGAACTACACTGTTTGATAAGTTTATTAGAGCACAACAAATGGTGACAATTTTTTCAATTGTTTGTTACAGAATCTTTAGTTCTAACTATAAGCAGTTCAGTTGGTAGTGTAATATCATAATAAATTAAAATTGAAAAAATATGAGTTAGATGACAATATCGAGGTCGACAACAAAACCAATAGCAACCAATATGGCGCGCGCTTCTTAATCGGAGTCGTGTGACGTCACGTGCACCCCCTCTATAATAATTTAGCACTTTTCTAATGGACACAATTATAAACGATTAATTTTCGAAAATATATACGTTTAAAAAATAAAAAGGGTACATAATATGAAATTTCTGGCATAGACTACGTTTGCGTGCTAAAATTACTCTTAAAACTTCTACCTATTGGTTGCTGTGAATATCACAGATTAGTGTTACTATTAAATGTTTTATACATATTAAAGATAAAAGTTACAATAGAAATTTATATATATTATTCTATAAGATAAATGTAATATCCATTCTGTAATAATATTGCTGCGATTAATACATTAGATCTTCTTCATCATCAACTTACTTCAAGTTTGGATAACACCGATATTTCACAGTAGCCTATTCATTGACCTGAAAGAAACTTGGCATGGTCTATTCATTGATTCCTTTGTTTTAAATACTTTCAAGTATATATTATACTATGCAGGAATAAGAATTTGTTCTCTTGACTGGAGTGAAATCCGAATATCCCCCGAGTCTAAAATAATAATTTAAAAGGAAAGTAAAATCTTTCCCGAAAAATATTCTTCCATTTTGATGGAAAAATAGCGTTTTTCTAGCGTGGGAAAACAGCTAGGAGAGTCACTTTCTTTGACGGAAGTATGAGAATCCTCTGTTTTTCCCTTATCTGCTAAAAATCTCGCTTCGATGGGAACTGTTTACCCCTCATTCCTACCTCTTCCCATCCGTCCACGTGGGAAAATCCGAATACAATGATTGGTCGTAAATGGGAAGATATCGGCGAACTTTAGCCGAATTCGGGGAGTTCGTCAGAAAATCTCAGAGAGGAGAGACGTCTCCCATATTGGCTCCACATCGCCCGTAAGAGTTCGTCCGTAGATTGGAGAGTGAAAGGACTCCACACAGATATGCCAGCAGACCAACGCCTCGTCATTCCCTAACAAGTTACTCCTAAGTTATCAATGAAGTACCTTCACGAAAAAGAAGACGACACTGCCAAGGAAACAGGTCGTATGTTTAAGACTAAATTGTGAGCTCTCTCTCTCTCGTAAATGTATAGTTTGAGAATACATTTCTCTCTCGACTCGGTATAGACTAAGAATAGATTTTCCTCCTGTCGCGATTGATTTGATCATTAGTTCTTTGATTGACTGTTGGGATTATTAGATTATTTCTTATTCTGTATTTGTAATTGTTTATTTTGTTTATTAAACTATATATATATTTTGTTAAGAGATGTCTCGTGTCGAATCTCTGAATCAGATCTACGGCATAAATTTCACGCGTGTTTATCCGCGTTACGCAAGTAGATAAACTGGTGTCGGGACCCTGACATAAGGAAGAAGGTGAATTCGCCATCACCAACTTCCGCTCTAAATTCTACTTTAACTATAAGACCCTCCACTACTCGATTTCCTATTAAATAGGAAAGCCATTCTTGTGGACGTATGAGACTAGTTTCACCAACTAGCTGCCTATTAAGTGATACAGGCGTAACAAACTACCCTGTACCCCAGGCTGGATCTCACACTGGTTGATGAGTAACTTTTACAAAATATGTTGTCAGAACAAATAAAAAAAACTTTGACATTTAACACACGCACATTTAACAAAAACTAAAAGTAATAAACATATATACAACAGAATGTTATCAGATAATTTATATTTTTAACCTATTGTTTATTATTTTAACATTCTTAATAAGATTGTATTCTCTTTTTCCATTACCTAGTATGTAAAAGTAATACGCGTTTAACTAAACAATTTTTTAATTAGTATTTATAACAGAACAATTTAATAAAGAATTTTTATTATTTTTTTTTAATCTAACCAAGCAAATTTTTATAATAATTTTCAAAATTAAAAGTAAAGTGTTAAATATAGTTTTATATAATTATACTGTGAAAACTTTAAAACGAATTACAATTAATTTAATTACAATTAATTGCATTTAACTATAAGGGTAAACTGCCTTCTATAAAAACTTATATTCGGTAGTAAACTTTCCTCTATTCCTCTCCTGTGTTCAAGTGTCTAGATAAACGAAACAACTGTTGACAAACCTTTCCATCAAAATTTTTTATTGATTATTCGGCAAATGCATTTCGGATGACGTAAATTCTATTACAAAATAAAACTGCCAGCTATAAAACAATAATACTGAAGAAGAAAATTTATAATCTGGACTCTTGAACACCAGAGAAGAATAGAAGAAAGTTTACTGCCGAATATAAGTTTTATAGAAGGCAGTTTACTCTTATAATTATATGCAATAATTTGAATCGGTTCTCTATATAATTAACACCATTAAATCAATTATTATATAAATTATTTTTCTTTTAATAAACTGAAGCTCATATTTTGGAAATTTAACAGAATTGCTGAAATATTTTTATAGGATAATACAATGTTGGAGCTAATGTCAGATTCAGAGGCACTGAATCAACGTAACACAACAGAACAACAGAACGGTAATAATTTATTTCACATTAATTTTAAATATATTAATGTAATAGAATACAACTTTTCTAATATACAAAATACAATAATCTTAAATATTAAAAGTTTTTAAACTAATATTATTTTTCCACTGTTCCACAACATAGAAAAAAAGTATGGCGATGGATCAAAATATGCCCCACAAAGATTTTAATATTTTTGGACTCGGGAAACTTGAAACGTCAAGAAATTTTTAAAAATGTTGGAGGTTTTTCTGTATGTATGGATGTTAGCGAGTGTGACATGATATTTTATCGCCCAAGTTTAAAATTTAATAAATCCTGTGCCTTTTGTCGAAATTTCAGAAATTTTGCAGAGAGATTTGTGTATTAGGGAAAATTTAGTCAGAAATTTTCAGGAAAATCGAACTATTGGTTTGGGAGATATTAAGGGGGAAATCATATCTCAAAAAGCTTCCAAATAATGAAATTTTTCTTTTACTTGTAGAAATTTTTAATTTACCAAATATGAATGTTGTTATTTTCATAAATGTTTTCAAAAATTACTTTATTCCCAATATTAACGTTTTCTGATGTCTTTTTTTTAAAATAAATTTTGATAGAATAAACTATTGCGCTCTATTTTTTCATTATGTAAATATTGATAAAATAATTTTAAAAAGTTGACATTTTCCCCAATTCCCAACTCTAGCTCTGAAATACAAATATTAAAAAAAATAGTTATTTTTTTTATAAAATTTATTTAGATAAATATTAGTTGTGTTGTTAATTATACTGTTCATCGAAATTAGATCGAAAGATCTTTATACAGGATGATTCAAAACGATGGAGCAGATTTTGGATTTTTATTTCAAATAAACTGTAAGGAATGGAAGCACATACTGCACATCACTGGATAGAAGAAAGTTTAAAGTTTTAAAGACATGTCTAGAAATTCCATTCAATGCCACAGACACGCTGATTCTTATTTATAGGAAAATAGCGACGCCACAGGAGAAGTCTTTTGGTGTGCTGTATTTATTCTTGAAGCGCAATGCGAATTCCGCCTTAGGTTCAACAAACAGCCGCCTTGTCATAAGCAAGTTTACGGGTGGCTAAAAAATTTCGTAGAAAATGTTTGCATGTGTTTGTGTAACTATAAAGATACACAAACACATGCACGTGCAAATATTTATTTACGTGTTTTTAAAATGTATTCATATTTTTAATAAAACATAATTTTTTACTATCCAATTAATAGTTTTTTTAATATTACAAGTAGGAAATAAACATATTGATGTAAAGTTGTAAACAATTTTACATTCTAATTTTAATATTTCTCTTACTAGAGCCTCCTAAAGTAAAAGTACAAAAGTTTGAAGGTGGTCAAATCGGTCCTAGATATGTTACTAATTATATCAATGTTCGACATAGAAAAGGTAAGCATGTATTTCAACATCTTTTTTGAAATTAAAATAACAGTAGCGCGTTATAACTTTATGAGACCCAGACGAATTTGAATTACGACGTCCATGTTCAGTGTTTACTTCAGACATTTTTCTTTGGGGAAATTTTTGGGGAATATTTTCTTATAAAAGATTGGTTTAGGGTTCCAGACAATTCCTCATTTTGCCAAAAGGATAACGCGTCACTGTAAAATAATTTTTTTAATTAATGATAACTATTTATTTAATATTACGATAAAAAGATTACAATTTTGATTTTATATTTTTTTATTTTGCTTGGAAAATATAACTAAATTGAATCATTATAATTTATTAGGATTGGATAATTTTGAGTTTCTTGAAGTAGATTTATCTCACTACTTTGCAAATAAATAATTAAATAATTGCTGAATTTATTAAGATATAATGCAAAAATTGCTTAATGACCGATTTTAGCTTATTCAAATTCATTCTCTTTAATGTTTAAAATTCTAATTGAATGAAACTTTTAAAACTAGAATTTCGTTATCGGATGATCTACAACTTTTAAAAATTATTCATATTCAACTACATTATGGATTGAAAATTTGACTCGATAATTATGACGTTTAAAATGACGTTCAAATGTGATCAAACGCAAAACACCGTCATTATAACAATTCTAATTTTGCATTTCTCATTTTCAAACGGTTCATATATCTTTGGAAAATTACATTATATTTTTAGATAAGAATAATTCTATTAAAATTCTATAAGTTATTTCTGAAATCCAATATTTATAAACTCATATTTTATATACAGTAATACCCCGAACTTACGCGATAGGTGGGACCGAGCGATAACCGCGTAAGTCGAATTCGCGTAAGTCGGGGTATAATTTCGCAATTTGTGTAAAATCCAAGTCGGATGTATATAATCTAATAAATGTTCTCGTTAATCTTATCTCGTCATTTGATTCGTTCACGGTTACAAGAAATCACCACATAGAGTCTCTCGAGTCTCCGTAGATATAACAAACACAGAAATAAATAACACAAAATAAATTGTATCTATTAGGGTTTCTCATTTCCCGGTATTTTGCTTGTCCCGGGATCCCGGGATAAAAGTGAACTGTTTCCCGGGAAATCCCGGGATAGAATTAATTATTTTTAAGGTATACAAAATATCTTGAAATCAAATGATATAATTATTTTCCATTTTTTAAAGTAATTTTAAAGTTTTGTAACCTCCAAAATCATATTAATAATGCTGTGTTAGGTCTATAGGCCTATAATAAAAATTACCTTTAAATAACGTAGAAATTTTCACAAATAGAAAAAAATTAATTAAAGTTTGCTGGAAACTGCATACAACAACAACAAAAAAAAATTTTTTGAATTGAGTTAAAAATTAAAAAAATGAACTTCTAATTTAGAAGGTAATTTTCGTTTTTTAAATAAAATATAATACAAAATATTGCAAACTTTTATAAGATTTTAAAAAGCAAAGATGGTCAATACTCCGATAACTCACTCTAATTCTTATTTTAGTAATGAAAAGTCTTGCCACCGAGAATGCCCTTTCCGATTCAATTGATGTGATTGGAATAGTGTTTAATGCATTTAAGAGAAGACAGATATTATGTGTTTTTTCACCTGTAGCCTGGAAGCTTTCGAGTTCGTTTTCGAGATTGTAGTACTTCTTTCGCTCTCTAGTATTCTTGATTTGTCTACCTTGGCTGCTTTAATAGCGGCATCAAGCTTAGAGCTCGATAATTCGGCAATTCATTTGGCTTTAATAATCAGGTTTATGAAGAAAAACTTCATACTTGCAGACTTTGTACTCGTTTGTATCCTTGCCCAATTTGCACAATCTGGCGTCAGGCATTTATTGAAGCTACTGGGCATGGTTAAAACTCAAGACAGCGTAAGCACAATTATTCCAGATATTACAGGTTCCGACAAGTAAAGAATTTTTATAGTCATGCCACAAATAAGCTATATATTGATTATTGACCATTTGTGACATGCTATAACGAGCAAAAATTTAAAAAAACTAATAGGTAGGTTTAAAATTAATAAATACAAATGTATTCTGGCAGTGAATGAGTTAATTATGCTTTCTATTTGCAAAACTCCTCAACCTTAACACAAAATAAGAAAAAAAGTGAATTTTTAAGGAATTTGCGGGATTTCCCGGGATAAGAAAAATTTCCCGGGATATTTCCCGGTTTAAAAAAACAACCGGGATCCCGGGATCCCGGAATCCCGTTTCAAAAACCCTAGTATCTATATGTCGATTCCACGCGACACGTCCGAACATGTAAGCTGAACAATAGTGTGGGGGAGTGAGTAATCAAGAGTTGCGTGGCGCTGAAACAAAAGACGAATCGACGAGATTTGAAAATCACGTAAGTCGAGGTATTACTGTATTTTCAAGTCACAGTTGTTTTTGTTTATGTTGTAATTATATAATATGTATAGATATATTTTAAAAATTTATATATAAATAATTTGGATTAATATTTTAATGAACATAAATAAATTCATAAATTTATAATATAAACAACATTAAAATATACCTATTTTTTTACCTTATTCTTTCTTTAAATTTGTAAATATAATATAATTTTATTTTTAATTCAGCGGTTCCTTCTGCTCTTTATAATGACGATATTGATACGAATAGAAGTAAACAAAAGAGAAAACATAAGAATATCGATAATTCAATAATACCTTATGTACTTTCTACAAAATTAGTTTATGTTGCCGGAATATTAGCATTAACTATCATCTTTCTATCCTGGTGTATTTATTTATATATTGTCCCTCCAGAAATTAGAGGTAAAAAATTATTTTCTTCATTTTAAATTACTTTCCATTTTCAAATTTCATTCTAAATTACTTTCAGATACGGATTTTTTGAGAAATGTTCAAGCACTGAAAGAAAAATATCAAAATAGCCATTCTTATCAGCCGTTTAATCTATGGTACAACTCGAACTCTGATATTCCTCTTAAGAAATATATTTTTCAACTTAAAGTTATTGAAGATAAAATGTTAGAAAATTCGAAAAGAGATGAAAATATTTTGCTAGAAGATGCTTTGTATCTTGTGCAAAGTGTGCATAAAACAAAACATTCTATACTCATTACGGGTAATCCTTACTTTGGAAAATCTTCATTGATTAGGAAAATAGCATGTATGTGGTCTATTAATTGCGCTTCTCATTATTTATCTAGCTATGATTTAGTGGTAGTTATATCATTACGAGATTTAAACTCTAGAACAATACCTGAAATGATTGTCGAAACGATATTTGGAAATAAAGACAAGAGGCTAATTGATGGTTTCAGAAAATCTCATCTCAATTTTTTTATTTTATTAGATGGTTATGAAGAAATGAAACAAAAAGGCGTTCTTTTGGATTTCATGAACTCATATTTAAATTCACTAAACATAACAATTTTACTCACCAGTACTATTAAAGCAGCTACGAATATTAAAGGTAGATTTGATTGGCATTTTTCGTTGGTTGGTTTGTCAAAAGAAAACCAGAAAAAGTATATAGATTCTACATTAACGGACGATTTGGAAAGGAAAGAGAAATTGAAAACAGATTTGGATCATATTATGTTCCTTCCTCAATTAATGAAATGTCCATTAATGATGAATATATTTTGTTATCATTACTTATATTTACATAGTGATATAGATATCACGATTACAACGTTATATATCCAAATGTTTAATACGTTAATTCAAAAATTTTGGACAAAATATGGATATAGCTCAATTTTAAAGAGAGGCACATTTTTGAAAGGTGAAGTCATTTTGACTCGTTTAGGAGAATTAGCTTTTAGAAATTTAAATAATAGTAGAAATTTTATACCAATAGAAGATATAATGAAAGAATTTCAAAATGAAGAAGAATATGAAATCGTTTCTAACTTAAATATTATTCCTCTTACGATACAATCGGATGACACTGCAATGTCTCCTTTTCATCATTACTTACTGGAATTTTTGAGTGTTTTTCACATATTTTACTTAGAATATAAGAAAAGAGGGAATTCTGGTTTTATATACGGAAATACTGTTATTAAGAAATATTTAATTTTACGCCAACGAAATAATTTCATATACGGAATGAAAACGTATTGGGACTTTGATAGATTAGAGAGAGATTTTATGATGATAAGCGAAATAAAAAAAGTAATACAATTTCCTGGAGAAATGGAAATGTTTCATTTATGTAGAAAGAAGATTACAGAAGAACGTTTCAAAGCTTTTTGTTTATTAAGAAATAATTATAGTTTCAATATCATTTGGGATTCTATAGCAACTCTAAAAGATATTTTGAGATATGGCAAGCCTACACTTCTAACAATAATTGTTCCACCAAATATAAAGAAGTGGGATTACATAGAAAACGATATGTTAAAAATAATTAATTCAAGTGAATCTATTACGCATGTGTTTTTTCGATCGTCCGTATGTCCCTATTACATCGATGAATATAAGAATTTATTCTTAGACTTAAGAAGTTTATTCGAAGCTTCAATATCAGCTGTTAATACTTCAGCAGAATTAGTTATTGACATGTTTGAGAGTTTTGATTCCTTTAACAAAATATCCAGAAATTTTCTTTCTGATGGAATCTACAGAGAAGAAGAAATTGTCAGCTTAGTTTATTTCGGTTTAAGAGAAGATAACAAACCTCCTTTTAAAATAGATATGGAAAGATTAAGAATTCAATTTCCAGAAACTTTTGACTTAGAAATAGTACAACAAATGATATTATTTATTTCTGAAAATCAAATTGGAATATTTAATAAATATCCTTCGTGGAAAAATTTATTGAATTCTTATTTCAACTGGGAAATAAACCCTCCTAAGCATTACAAATTGCAACTGAATGGAGATGAAATCGTTTCTATTTTATAAATTTTCATTGTTTTAACGATTCTTTCATATGCAAAAATTATTAATCTTTAATTCAAATATTTGTATTTGTTAGAAAATAAATAATAAAATGTTCATTATTCATAAAAATTTAGTAAAATGTAATCGATAGGATAAAAATAAAAGTGAAAAAACAAATATTTGAAATTAATTTTCTTAATAAGATAAGAAACAAAGAAATTAAATAATTTTATTCTATAGTTTCTTTGCCTGTATAATCATACAAAATGTAACAAATTAAAATACTTTAATATTGATTTTTAATACAAATTATTGTAAATATACAGTTCAACCCCGTTTATACGTTTTTCAAGGAACTGGGAAAATATTGTATATGTGAGATAAACGTATAAGTGAAAATAGTTTTGAATTGCCCATAAGATCATAAAAGTATAGCGTGACACAAATTACTGTACAACTGAATTTATACGTGTAATGCTTAACAAAGCCGTTTCAGTTTACTTTACGTATACAGGAAAAGCATCACTTCGAACTCCTACCCCAAAATACGACCCCCCCCGGTTTATTTCTCGAAAGAAGTGTTCATGCTAGATTTAAGTCGAGTGAATACTACACAATATTGCTATTATCTGTAGAATCGTTATTATTCAGCTCTGGTTTCTGGTCTTTCAAAAGTGCGTGAATTTCCATTCTTCCTACCCACGGAATTGTTGAAACTTCACTTTGTGGCATCAATTCACTTCAAGATAAGAGTTCGTTTTTCATTACTAACATGTAATAATAAAATTAACGGACTTTGCTCTTTGTTAGTCGTTTCCGACAATAATTGACGGTGTCATGTTGTTTAAAAAACATCCACTTCTTTCAAGTTCCCTTACTATTAATTAATGACAGCTCTATCTCAAGGATTTTTTATTAATCGACGGAACCAATGTTACTATAAATCTTCTAGCACTAAAAGAAGATTCTAAAATAAAATTGGTTTAAAAGAAATATAAAGTATAAAGTAGGTTAATATTTTAAAAAATAATTCCAGCAACGAGTTGCATAACTTTCTCCAGCAATAAACTTAAAATTGTGTGTGGCGCCGTGTATTATGAGTTTTTATTTAACAACTTATAACAGATGAGCCACAGTTGGGATTTTTATATTATTAATTATTATAAAATGACAAGAAGTTTAATTAATTTTAATTAAGGAAAGTTATGAGTTTTAGAAATGAGCTAATAACGAGTAAAATATTCAAGTCCAAACCCACTCGAGATATGATCGCCCATCTCCCACCTCCTCGACTTTTAACGAACAAAATTTAATAGCATCAATGCCCTTAATATAAAACCATCCTGCAAAATGTCAGAAAATTTCAACAAAAAGCACAAGAATTATTAAGTTTAAAAATGGATAAACAAACTCTTGCACTTTCACATACACAAACTCACGCTAACATCCATACATACAGAAAACATACACCTTTCTCGACTTTTCCAAGATTTCCAGAATCCAAAAATTTTAAAATCTGGGGGTCATTTTTCGACCGATAGCCGTACTTTCCCTCTGTTATATATAGCAACCAAGAAAGTAAAAATGATGTTTTTCCTTAAGTATATATTTTTCCCTTCCTGTTTTTCCATTTAGAAAACTTTTTGTAAAAAATTACTGATAAAGCATTTATTGTATTTCAATAATCGTTTATTTAATATATGATTTACGCTTGTTTTTGTTTTAAATAAATACAAGATATAATCAATATATAAACTATATAATCAATATCAACATACAATCAATATATACAATCAATCAGTCAAGCGTAAGGAAATAGTAATTAATGTGTTTTTAGATGAAAATAAAATAATGAATTGTAAAAATTAATTTAATCATACATACAATTTATAATTATTTACGGTTATTTTATTTGCAAACGTTTTCATTCTGTTCAAATATTACATTTCTGTTAGCAAATTAAATTAACGATGTTATTTTGAAATGATAAAATTAAGTTTATGCGTTAGTAATATAAAATCTTAAAAACTAAATGTAAATTTTATTTTCGTCTTTCTTTAATTCTTGGTGATATATTCTTTAAAAAATATTGTTTATATTCTTTTAAAAATTTTCGGGGAAGCGTTGCTTAACTTTCTCGACAATATTTAAAATTTTGCTGCTGCATCTTTATGATATTTTATTTTAAAAACTCTTTATTCTTTCTTTATTTAAACTCTTTCGTAGTAAAAGTACTACGAAAGTTTATAATAAGTTAGTAATGAGCGAAATTTTGATCTTTCGTAAAGGCATAAAAAGCTGGTGATCGTGTTCATAAAAAATTAATCAATCATACTAATTTAAAATTCCATTTACTTTTAATTCTAAGAGGTCTACAACCAAAAGTTGGTAAGTAGATAAGATTATTTGGACATATTTAAAATATACAGAAAAAAATTTTTTTTTTCTTCACAAACGCTGCATAAATCTACCACATGGCATAACCATCTTTGTGTATTTAAGGAAACTTACTGGCTTTGCATATATTAATTACTGTATTTCCATTAACTACATACGAATACAAATATTGACATAGTGAATGCAATGCCGTAATTACTCGTAAATATCTCCCTTGAATATTCATTCTAAAAGAAAACAAAGCACAAACACGCAACAAAAGCCTCAGTGTTAGACACGTAAAGAAAACTCGGAAAACCACATGGCTATCAGTGAGACTCGAACCCACGAAAAAGTATTTATTTGATTTACTCGAAGATACAAAGTTTATATGTTAATTAAAGAACGTTAAATATTACATTTATTTAACCACTTTATATTATATTTGAATTACAGTAAACCTCTGCTAACTCTGACAATAGAAATGAAGGTTGTTTGAGTTTTCAAAAGTACGAATTAGCGAGGTATATCTTTGAAGACGTGAAAAACGATAAAACGGACATAGTACAGTAATTTATTAAGTTTAGCTTTATACAGAAGTTCAGTGAGGTTTAGTAGGTTATACTGCTGAATTTATTATTACATGTAATGAACTCAAGAAATTTTATAACTACAGTATACAGGAATGTACTGTACAGTCTTTTTTACCTCTACAATAATATATTATGCACGGTATAACAAAGACTTCCGGATATCTAAAACACTTGTTAATTATAATTTTTCTATTTTCAAGAAATTTGAAATTACTGTTTTGAAAGAAAATTGTCCGAGTTAGAAGGGATTTACTGCATATTTAAAATAAGTTTTGACATTTTGTCTTAGATGTTATAGGAAAATCACTAATTATTGCAACTATCGAGAATAAAATCTTATTTTTGGCATTTTCGATTATTACATAAATTTATTTTTGATAAACAAATTTAAATTCTAGAATATGAAAATATATAATTGATTATGAATTTACATTACATAACTCATATTCGGTTTATTAAGATACACGTAATAGATATTAGACGTAATCATTATTAAAATTATTATTATATAGGCTACATATACGTACAGTACTGTACTGTACATATATGTATGCGTATATATAACTTGTTAAAGAATTTTTAAGTAAAAACATGAAAAATGAGATATGAATGACTAAATTATTTTTCAACAATAGTTTTAGAGAGAATATTATGAATGGCATCTATTTACCTCATCACATTTTACAATCTCAACATTTAACTACTCTCCCTACTTATTATTGTTAGACTCTTCCGAACTATAGATTGATTAATTAAAAGGCTCAGCTAAAACCAGTTATAAAACCAGTAGTTTATTGTCAATCGATATCGATAGAACAAAGATACTAAAAAAATTTCTTGCTACATCGAGAAAGGAAAATCACGAAAATGGAAACTTCTTCAGAAATCATCTGTCTTAATTGTTCTATTAATCCTTATTATAAAATGTTAAGATATCTCGGATTAGATCCATTACAGCAATGTTGTCATCAAAAAATTCATCGAAAAACATTCGAGAAATTGTATAAAATATATTTTCATATTATTACACTTCAGCATTGGTGCCATGTTTTTTTAACAGTCTTGATGATAATATTTGTTGAAAAGGAAATAGATTTGCCTTGCTATTCGTGGGCTATTCGTTATGGTAAAGGAAATAGACTCGGACCGTTTATGAAACTGGCGTTTGCTTTCTCAGCAGTAACAATAATGACATTAATCTTCAAGAAGAAGCTTCTCGTATTATTAAATATATCCACTTATAAAGGCGAAGCAAAAAGATTGATAAAGATTCAATATATATTTATTCATCTAATGCTTTTAATTAATATGGGAATACTTTTCTTTCTTTTTATTCAAGTTTCTTTTGTTATGAGCAAAAACAGATGCAAACTGGAAGAACTAGTTTTTTGCAGTTTTTACATTACTTTAAGTGAATTTTATTTATTTTCTTCTGCGATATCATTGGTAATATTTGCCTTGTTTCTCGGTTTATGTTTGTATTGGAGATTCGAATCTTTGTCTGAAGAACTGCAGCACTTAATAGATATTAAAGAAACAAATCTGTTAACATATAAGAAAATAGAACTCTTTATATTAAAACATAGAGAATTACTGGAACAAATTCAACATATAAATGATAAATTTGAAGATATCGTCTTTATTACTTACAATGCAACAATTTGGATTATTGCTTTGGGATTTTGTGGAATAATATATCTTGATAATAAATTGCTAATAGTTAAAATGAACAAAATAATAGTATGTTCGGCAACTTTTGTAGCATTGTTATGTAGTTTCACACTTTCGAGACTTTCTTCGGAAGTAAGTTTTTTTAAAAATTACTATTCTTTCAAATAAATTGATAAATATCTTGTGGTTTCGAGAAAAAGATCTAACATTGTAAACGTTTTTAATTCTTCCAAGTAGTTTCAGTTTTTCGAATATTCATTTTAAAGATTTAGTTACTTAAAATCCATATTTTTTAAAATTGAAGTATAAATTAAATTCATCAATACAAAACATCTGAGATGTAAAATTGCGCCAACTGAAAAATTATTGCAATTTAGTTTAAAATTTTTTCTGTTTTTTTTTTTTGGTAAAGATAAGCTTAGCGCTTCGAAATGCTTCGAAAATCTGTACCGA